TGTTTCAGCTTGAAGCATTGCAGTTCTGCAGAGGTTGTGAACTCTCTGTTCTCCTGCTTCTTTCATCCCCTCCCTGATAGAAATTCAGTGGTCTTCTTAGAATGCAAGGAAAGAATGGTGGCTTGGCAGCTTTGCATCATCCCCTCTTCACAGTTGCTTGTTATTTTGTAGTGGGGGGGAAAGGAGGAATCATCAGGCAGCACACACAATATGAATTAAAACTATATCGAGGGCATGATATTGTCTGGATGTTATTCACTGAGCTTTCATATTGCCCAGCTGGACAGAATTAACCAATATTATTCCACACCTTTTAAGATAAGTAGGCCTTGATATTCAAAACTGCTTTGGAAAGGTATGGAAGTGCCTTGATATGGTTGAGCTGATCTCCTTAGAAGTCGAAGACATCAAGTTAATTCATGGCTTTCGTGGACATGATAGCCTTCTGTTGATGTAATCCCAGTTTTGCATTTTCTAAACCGAGCAGAGGTCAGACTAGATAGTCTGCAGTGATCCATTCATTCCAGGACCCTGTTATTGCAGGAAAGCTTCACAAGTAGAATTTTTAAAATGTGGAGTAGTTCACTGTACTTAAATTTGGTGTAGTGGTTAAGGCATCAGGTTAGAAGCCATGAATTCTGGCTGCCTTAGGCCAGTGGTGGGTTTCAAATTTTTTTACTACTGGTTCTGTGGGTGTGGCTTGGTGGGCATGGCATGGTTTGTTGGATGTGGCAGAGGAATGATACTGTAAAATCTCCATTCCCTCCCCAATCCAGGGGAAGGATACTGCAAAATCCCCATTTCCTCCCGATCAGTTGGGACTTGGGAGGCAGAGAATAGATGGGGGCGGGGCCAGTCAGAATTTTTACTACTGGTTTTCCGAACTACTCAAAATTTCCACTACCGGTTCTCCAGAACTGGTCAAAACCTGCTGAAACCCACCTCTGCCTTAGGCACAAAGCTAGCTGGGTATCCTTGGGCCAGTCACTCTCTCAGCCCTTGGAAGAACGCAATGGCAAACCACTTCATGCAGTTATCTTGCCAAAAAAACCCACAAGGACTAGTCCATGCAGTGGTCAGGAGTCAACAATGAGTAGTGATACCCATTGTTAGCTTGTAAGCCTTTTTTTTTGGTTGTTCTTTGTATTGTTCTTTTCTTTGTGTTTTGGGTTTCCCCCCAATATGTTTGTGTTTTTTAAAACATGTTAAAATAGAACCAATGGTCTATTTTTTATCCTTGTCCAAATTCCTAGTGGTTGGATCCCTTAGCATTAAGCCTATTTTGTTTTTGAAACTTTGCCCAAAGATTTTTTTCCCACCCAGGACCAGTTTTGAATATAAATTCTGTACCCCCATCCACATCTAAGATACATCATGCCCATGTTTAACCATATTATTTTGGCCTTTTGAGACAGAAAAGAAAAAAAAAAACCTAAATCATAAGCCAGTGCTGGCGAACCTTTTCGGCACCAAGTGCCAAAATGGGAGCGCTTGCACGGGGGAGTGCTGGAAACCGGAAGAGCATTTCCCCAGCACACATGTGCACGCTGGGAAGATGAGCTTCCGGTTTCCGGCATCCCTGTGCCCACAAAGATCAGCTGGCCGGTGCACATGTGCATGCCAGAACCCAGAGGAGCAATGGGCAATGGCTGGTGTGCCCGGAGAGATGACTCCATGTGCCACTTCTGGCATGTGTGCCATAGATTCGCCATCACGGTCCTAGGCAGTGCATTTCTCCCTTCCTGGCAGTAAAACTAGTTAATAATTAACAAAACTGCTGCTCTCCTCCATGACTCTTAAAATCAGTTGCCTGAAATGGAGATATTGGCTTTCTTGTTAAAGACAGTGACCCGTAACGCCAAGTCCACAGTGGTCAAGATTGGACTGTAATCTGATTCTAGTTCAATTCTGGACAAAGTACAAAAGGAAAACTTCCAAAAAATGCCAGTTTTCAGCATGAGAGGCTGAAACATCCTGGGGCTTGAATTGTTTTCTCATTGGTGGGAGCTTCCCCCATTCAACCTCCATAATCTCCATCAATGAATTGGACTACTTGGGGCAGTGGTGAAATCCAAATTTTTTTACTACCTGTTCTGTGGGCGTAGCTTGGTGGGCGTGGCAGGGGAAGGATACTGCAAAATCTCCATTCCCTCCCCACTCCAGGGGAAGGATACTGCAAAATCTCCATTCCCACCCCACTCTGGGGCCAGCCAGAGGTGGCATTTGCTGGTTCTCCGAACTACTCAAAATTTCCGCTACCGGTTCTCCAGATCTCCTGTCAGAACCTGCTGGATTTCACCCCTGATTTGGGAGTAGTTCTTGACTTACAACCATTTGTTTTGCAAGGCACTGAAAAAAGTGACTTACATTGTTAAGAAGTTCCTCCCACTTAGAAACACAGCAGCATCCTCATGGTATTGTGATCAAAATTTGGGCAATTGGAAACCATGTATATACCGTGTATCCCCAAAAATAAGACCCTGTCTTATATTTTTTTGAACCCCGAAATAAGCGCTTGGCCTTATTTTCGGGGATGTCTTATTACTTCGGGGCGGGTGGAGTAAGATGGGGCTCCTCTTGCCATCTTACCTGATTTCCAGCTCTGTCTCCCTAACACTAACCAGAAGAAATGGCGGGGACCGTTTAAATATTTTTGGGGAGGGCTTATTTTTGGAGTAGGCTTATTTTCAGGGGGGTGTATTTTTAGCGCATGCGCTCAAAAGCCCGATTGGGCTTATTATCAGGGGATGACTTATTTTTGGGGAAACAGGGTATGTCAACTGCAGAATCTTGGGATCATGGGATCACCGTTTGCAACTTTCCCAGCTGACTTCTGACAAGCAAAGTCAATGGGGGAAGCTGGATTTGCTTAACGACCATATGATTCACTTAATAACTGCAGCAATATCAGTGCTGCAGTTATTAAGTGAATCATATGGTCGTTAAGCAAATCCAGCTTCCCCCATTGACTTTGCAGTCAGTTAACAGCTATGGCCAAAAAAGGTGGCAACAACAGGTGAGACTTGCTTAAAAACCACTTTGCTTAGCAATGGAAATTCGGGACCCAATTGTGGTTGTAAGCCAAGGACTGCTTGCATTGTCTTCTGAATATGGACACCTTTGTAGGGAGTGGGAGGATGGTGGTACCACGTGTTACTCTTTTGAAGCGGAGCTAGTTAGGAAACAAACTCCAGGAGAATGACTGGAAGTCTTTCTTCCTTATTGAGATGTTGAAATCCTGACTGTGTTTTTCCCCTCCCTGCTTCTTGCATCCCTGGGAATTAAGATGGAATCAGATTCATCCAGGCCTGGTGCCTTTCTATTCTTTTGTTTTTTAAGTGCTTCAGTTAATTCCATCATCGTTATATTTCCTTCTAACATCATTTCAGTGTCTTTAGAAATCTGGGGTAGATTCACTTTCTGCAGGTATTGTTTAACACTTTCCTCCTCAATATTCTCTTGCTCATACAGTTTTCTATAATAATCTTGTATAATTTTTTTCTTCTCTTTATTCCCATACCTAATTTGCCCTTGATCATCTACTAGTTGTATTATTTTCCTTGATTCTCTCTCTTTTTCCAGTTTGTATGCTAACCATCTACCTGGTTTATTTGCGTCTTCAAAATAGTTCTGTTTAGCACTTCTAATTTTTTGTGCTAAATCCTCTTTTTCTATTAATCCCATTTTATGTTTAATTGTGTCCATTTTTATTTTAGAGATATAGAAGCAGAGCCAGCCGCACAAACAGGCTGAAGAACAGTTTTTATCCATGGGCTGTCAGACTCCTGAATGCGAAATAACATCACATCTATGTAGTACCAGAGGTGGGTTTCAGCAGGTTCTGACCAGTTCTGGAGAACCGGTAGCGGAAACTTTGAGTAGTTCAGAGAACCAGTAGTAACAATTCTGACTGGCCCCGTCCCCATCTATTCTCTGCCTCCCAAGTCCCAGCTGATTTGGAGGAAATGGGGATTTTGCAGTAACCTTCTCCTGGTTTGGGGTGGGAATGGAGATTTTACAGTATCCTTCCCCTGCCACGCCCACAAAACCATGTCCACAAAGCCATGCCATGCCCACAAAGCCACACCCACAGAACCGGTAGTAAAACATTTTGAAACCCACCACTGTGTAGTACGATGGACTTGAAGGGCCAGCGCAACGTGTAACCTGTTCACACTGGTGCAATAGGACTGTGTGGTTGTTAATATGATTTATTGGGTTAGGGATTTTCTGTCTTCACTGTTAGTTCAGGGGTGAAATCCAGCAGGTTCTAACAGGTTCTGGAGAACCGGTAGCGGAAATTTTGAGTAGTTCGGAAAACCGGCACATACAACCTCTGGCTGGCCCCAGAGTGGGGTGGGAATGGAGATTTTGCAGTATCCTTCTCTTGCCATGCCCACCAAGCCATGCCCACAGAACCGGTAGTAAAAAAAATTTAGATTTCACCACTGCGTGAGTTGTATTGTGTTGGTGGGGGGGTGCACTGTGGGAGCTCAACCAATCTCATGGTACATATGTTGTGCACTGACAATAAAGATTTGAAATTTATGCATACAGCTTTTCTTTTTCTTTTAAATTAAAGAGCCAAGCCAGGCTGCTCTTGTTATTCCCATATTGCAGATCGGAAGATTGAGACCATGAAATAAATTCTTGCCTGTCCTGAGCTGATGACCACTTCGCTCCACCAGTATTTAACCAAGTTCTCAAAACTTGCATCTACATCATAGGTGCAGGAAATACAAAATCAACAGACACACATACACAAACATGCTTTCCTTATGAAGAAACTCATTTTGAGGGTCTTTATTCCTCCGTTCCCGAGAGCACAAGGTGAATTCTTTGGCAAAAAATCTGAAAAGCATTGGGCAAAGGGAGTGAAAAGCAGCCTGAAGGACCAACGTGGCTCAGAAGGGGTTAAGACCGAGGAGGGTGTGGATTAGCGTTTTCCTGTCTTGACAGCCTGTATATACAGCAGGCAGACCAGCTGCCGGCTGGCCGCATGGCGTTCACTTCCCTTACTTGCTCCACAAATCTTCTGGTGCTCGGATGTTATTGAAGATGCTGCCATGCTTTTAAAAGGGAGCAGAAGGTGAGTCCATAAACAGACCTGGTTACCAGCGTGTCGGGTGACTGCCAGATTAGAGAGCAGCTGTTCAGAAATTGTCTTTCCTTGGCTTTGCTAATGATCTTACTGCCTACGAATTCTCTTCCACTTCATTTGAATTACGGTAGACCAGCCAAGTTTGCCAGTTTTAAGATGTGTGGCTTTCAAACTCCCAGAATTCCTAGCCAGCTGTGCAGGATGGGGAATTCTGGGAATTGAGGTCCACATGTCTCAAAAGTTGCCGAAGATGAGAAACACTGGGATAAACAGTCCATTCAGGTTCAAAGAGAAAATCAAAGTACTTCTTAGGCATGTGTGCATTTTAGAGTTTCATTGTCATTTATTGGTTACGTATCCATCTAGGCTTACATGGCATGATAGGTGAAAATGTGGCTGGCAGCTTTATATTTTGGTGGGTTTTGTGAACCTAATCCATCTGTTTCAGAATCTGGTGTAAACTCCAGGAGTTGTTTTAATTCCAGAAACGAAAGATGGTGGGTAGAGTCGGACATGACTGGCAGGGGAAATATTTACCTTTTTAAAAAACCATTTTATGTACTATTTTCGTACAGTATTATGTATTCATTCATCCACCCAGGTAACGTTTTGGCTGACAGAAATTTAGGCAGACTGGATCCTAATCCTGTCGACTTTTTTTTTTTTAAATTTGATTTATATGCCGCCCTTCTCCGGAGACTCAGGGCGGCTTACAATGCGCTAAGCAATAGCCTTCATCCTTTTGTATATATATACAAAGTCAGCTTATTGCCCCCACAACTGGGTCCTCAATTTACCTACCTTAGAAAGGATGGAAGGCTGAGTCAACCTTGAGCCTTGGCGAGATTCGAACCTGCAGTAATTGCAAGCAGCTGGTCTTAATAACAGGGTGCTTTAGACCACTGTACTACCAAGGCTCTTTTAAGCTAAGACTTTTAAGCTAAGCTTTTTCAAAGTGGACTTTAGTAGACTTCTATCCTAACACATCCATCAAATCCGTAGCATAACTGTCCACAACCTTGCATTTTACAGCTGCCTTGGATTATAATATCCATCATCCTTGAACTGCTTTGGATTATAATATCCATCATCCTTAGAGAGATAGTTTGTTTGTTTTTGTTTTTGTTTTTTTAATTAAATTTATATATAGTGAAGATGTGATGGATGCTGTAGCCCACCGAAGGGGAGGCACGCCTGAGGATGATGCCAAGGGGGCAGACGCCAATCCACACATCCAAAAGGCATCGGTTTGGGGTAGATAATCCCCCAAACGGCACAAGATTCTTGTCTTGGAGCCAACTCTTGTGACTGTGCTGGTGTGTTTCCTCTAGCAAGCAAGTGGCAACTCAAAATAAACCTTTGGAGGAGTCTTCTTGCGGCTGGTGTGGTGTTTGGCTTCTGGGCATATGTATCCCATTTGGTGAGGTCTGTACTTAAACCTCCAAATTTGGAGGGTGTGGCCCAGGGTGGAAGGAGACTGCTAGCACCAGACAGGCTTATTTATAGCTGTGAATTCAAGAGGCAAAAGTTCAGTAGAAATTCATTCTGTAACCTGTTTTTGTAAACGCTCTTCTTCAGATGCACAGGTCTTAGGGAAAGCTGGCTTCTTGGGGAGGAGAGTCATGACATGATGGGTCTCTTTTGAAGCCCTTCCATACATTATGTGATAGCAAGATGACCAGGTCTTATGAGAAATTGTGGTCACCATGGCTTTTTGATATACTACTAAAGAACATAAGAACTCAGCGATGGTTTTAATTTGGGGGGAGAGGGGTATTTTTATGGGGTTCCTCCTCTTAGCTGTCAGTGAGCCAAGCTCCAAGAAAGATTGAGCAAGTGAGCCAAGCTGCCTTTTTGATTAGGATCACCAGAGAAACTCTCTTTGGACAGGAGTACCTCACCAGGGCATAGCTAGTTCCCCAAGGAGAGTCTCTGGTTTGTCCCCACAACTGGCAGCAAACAATGTTTGATTAGTCCATATTAACGCTAGAGATATGATGTTATTCCAGAACTTTGCAGAGTAAATGGCTTCAGATGTTTTTGGTGCACCAGAAACAAACTCCTTGATATTTGTGCAGGTCAATCATTAGTTGTGGACCAGGCCAAGTTGGGAGCTCAGGTGTGTTCCCAGAAGACCATACAACCATGTCAGAACTCTTTTTGAGGGTGGGGGCCTTCTGAGACTCCCATGTGAGTTTATTTTCCAAGTAGAAATAGAAAATGTTGAACCTAAGACATCCTGCCTTCAGACAAGGTTGAATGCTTTGAGGACTTAAGAAAAATATTGCAAAAGTCCTTGAGGCCCAAACAGAAGTGAAACAATTGATGCAATCAATCAACAATAGATTAATGTTTTTTTTTAAAAAAACAAATAAAAAAATACAACAAAATATAAAGTACACTGTCCTTAACAGTAAACAGTTACAATTCTTTTTATAATTATCTAATGCAAACATTTTGCAATTCGATGTCTACATATGGGTGTGTGTGTTTTTTTTTTTATATGGGTGTATACATAATAATAAATACATGCATTATTACAGGGGTACAGATAGTCCTCGACTTACAACCTTTCGTTTAGTGGCCGTTCAAAGTTACGACGGCACTGAAAAAAAGTGACTCATGATGAAGTTTCACAGTTACGACCATTGCAACATCTCCATGGTCACTTGATCAAAATTAAATTAAATTTAATTTAATTTAATAAAATTAAAACACTTGCCAACTGGTTCATATTTATGACAGGTGCAGTGTCCTGGGGTCCCTTTTTGTGACCTTCTGACAAGCAAAGGGAAGCCAGATTCACTTAACAACCGTGCTACCATCTTAAGAACTACAGTGATTCACTTAACAACTGTTGGCCGTAAAATGAGGCAAAATTCACTTAACTGCTTAGCAACAGAAATTTGGGGTTCCATTGTGGTCGTAAGTCAAGGACCACCTGTATAATACGGTAGATGTTGCTGCGTCATTGTACTGAACCTGGCTTCCCATTGGCCATGTTGTCGTTCAGAAATACTCGAAGGTTTACAGGTGAGACAAAATATTACTCTCTCTGGTGAGAATAATAAATATGAGAAGACTATTATGTTTCTTATGAGAAAAGATGAAGCGATGGTTCATAGGAGTTATGTTTTCAGTCGTCCTTCATCTTTAGGGAACATGGGAAGATATTAAAAGATTTACAGCTTTGGGACTGTCAGCGTATTTCTAGCCTAGAATTTGCTTTTTGGCTGAGGGAACCATTTCCCCTAAATAAGATTGGGTCTTATATTAATTTTTGCTCCAAAAGACGCATTATGGCTTATTTTCCAGTTAGGTCTTATTTTGGGGGAAATACAGCACTAAACGCCTCTGTCTGCTGACCATCTTTTTTTTTTAAATATTTTTTATTGATTTTACAATAACACCACAACACAACACAACATACAAAACATCAACACACCCTATGTGCGTCTTTTTACATATCAGTTTCGTTCCTCTTACTTTCTACATTCCCCATTTTCCTCATTCTTTATTGTCTTTATCTTTATCGTGCCTTTATTTCTAGTTTTATTCATTTACAATATTTTACACATTTATCACATCATTTATTCCCTTTTACCTTCCCTAGTCTTTAGCCGATCATACCCCTTATTCCATACTTGATAATATTCTGTATCTTCTTTTTCTTTTATTTCTTTCGTTAATTCATCCATCTCCGTACAGTCCAGAATTTTCCTAATTGTTTCTTCCTCTGTTGACAATCTTAACTGGGACTTATTTTTGGGGTAGGGCTTATATTACAAGCATCCTGAAAAATCATGCTAGGGCTTATTTTCCAGTTGGGTCTTATTTTCAGGGAAACAGTGTGTGTGTGTTTGTGTGTGTGTGTGTGTGTGTGTGTGTGTGTGTGTGTGTGTGTAAACATTTGGAAGATCAAAAGGGACATGGTCATCAACAACTGCCCAGGCTGAAGGGGAAGGAAGAGACAGAGCTTAAGAAAGTCAGCATAGAACAGACAACACAGGAAATGGCTCCCTTGTTTTTCAGACCAGACGGAGGGGGCAGTGGGTTCAGCACGTGGCTTCTGCTTGACTGGTTAGGAACAAGTGAAGAAACACAGTTGTGCAATGACTGAAATTTCACTTGGGCATCTCAAGCAGCTGGCTAGGTGCTCCATCCTGCTGCAGTTGCATCTGTGATCTGTATCAAGACTGAATGGAACAGTTATTATTTATTATTTATTTTATTATTCGAATTTCTATACCGCCCTTCTCCTTTTGGACTCAGGGCGGTGAACAGCCAAAATAAAAACATTTATACATAAATACGATTAAAAATAGATTTAAAATAATTAAATTTGGCCCATAGTTTAAAATTTATCAATTTAAAATCCATATCAAAATTTAAAACCAACCATAAAATCATAAAATCAAGAGAGACCGGCTAACTGAAAGAGATGAGTTTTTAGGGCCCGACGAAAGGTCCGGAGGTTGGAGATCACTCGTATCTCTGGGGGTAGATTGTTCCAAAGGGTAGGTGCCACCACAGAGAAGGCTTATTAGTTATTAGTGCTATTATATAGGGAGGATTTTATTAGAGCTTTGTCCTGCTTTTATTACTTTGGAAGTAATTCGAGGTGGGGAACATGCATAATACTTCTTCGTCCCCCTATATTCCCCATAACAACAACAATATGAGGTGGGTTGGGTTGAGAGAGAGGGCTCGGCTCAAAGTCACCCAGCCAGTTTTCATACCTAAGGCAGGATTAGAACTCACAGTCTCCTGGTTTCTAGGCCGGCATCTTCACCACCACCATTTGTCTGAATTTGTTCTGCCCCAGCTATGGACCCCAAAGAACGCAGCACACACAAAGTCTGTACAAACCTTAGTTTACTAAATTAAATCTTTCTCAAACAAAGGCTGTTAATTAACTTTATTAACAGCCTATAAGAATCCAAAGAATAAATAATCGTAATCTTACTGTGGTTGGCAAAATGCCCAGAAGCAATTTGCAGAGAACTAAGATCAAGACGCGAAGGAGAGTGAACGAAGTTGTTCCCTGCAAATTGCCTCAGTCATCGTCCTTCCTTAAATAGGCTAAGGGAGTGGCCAATTAGCCCCAAGCCTTACTCTCGAGGAGACCTCCTCCTGAGAAGCCACTCCTGCCTTTTGGCAGCTCTGTGCGCCCGTGCATTGAGAAGAGGCTCCTCCTCTTCGTCCTCTTCACTTATGGGAGCTTCTGGAGGTTCTGAAGGCCCTGGTTGAATCTCTGCCTCTGACACCACATCTTCTCCAGCCTCCTCATTGTCTGACTCGAGTGCCAGCTGCACAGGCTGCTGGCACAGCACCACACCAGCCTCCTTGCTGTCGGAATCAGCTACTAGCTGCACAGGCCGCTGACGGGCCACAACAGAATTGATATAGGGTTTCTTGCCTAAACAGGGGGTTGGACTAGAAGACCTCCAAGGTCCCTTTCCAACTCTGTTATTCTATTCCCGTGATGGTGAACCTATGGCACGCAGAGCCCTCTCTGTGGGCACACGAGCTGTCGCCCCAGTTCATCTCCACCACGCATGTGTTTATGCCTCCCACAGGGCAGCTGATTTTCAGGTCTCTGACATGGATGCATGGGGATGAGGCGCATGCAGGAGACGCGCACGCATGTGTGGGGGTGGGGGGGGTTGTGTGATCATGCGCAGGGTCCCATGCACATGTGCGGGTGGCGGGGGAGCATGGGGGGTCATGCACGCATGTGCCAGGGGAGCAGGGGGTCACATGTGCAAGCGTTGGGGGTGGGGGAGTGCAGGGGCTATGCATGCATGTGCTGGGGGGTGGGTGGAGCACAGGGGCATCACATGTGTATGCATGGGGCGTGGTGCATGGGGGGTATCGCACGCACATTGCATTATGGGTTCGGGCATGCGTGTGCAAGCTTTCGGCACGCAATGACAAAAAGGTTAGCCATCACTGTTCTATTTCCCAAAGCCAAATGGTTCTGGGTTAGTTACAAGATGCTAAATCTTGAGTGTGAATCCAGTTTAGGGATCTATTGGCTCCTGTGGAATTAAATGGACTTTTCAACATCATGTGCTTCTCCCTTAGTATATAAATAACCACCTGTAATCTCAATGAAGGGCAGAAAAGGGTATAGAATCCTTGCCTTCTTCCTATTGAGCTCAATGGCACTCTCTCTCATATCAGCCACTCTTTAGTTTATCATCTTTCCCATTTTTAATTTCGGTACGGGAGCAGGCCCGTTTAAAAGAAGTTCAGTGGCAGGTATAGGAAGAAGTTGTTGAAAATATTTTTTTTTTAAAAAAGGACCTATGGCCCAATCACTGTAATAAGTCTATCTACTATCTTCCTGTACCTGCAAATGATTAACTAGAGACTATCTGGAGAGGAAGGCAAAGTCTCTCAGCAATTTTTCATTGCAGCCTAATTTGTTTGGTATTCATTCACCCTTTAAAATTAGCAAGGTCGAATGGCTGGGGAGCTGGAAATAACCTGAAGAGGCAAAGGCCACAATAATTTTACTTCATTGCATCAGCATTACGCAATTATCTTCTCCAGCCTGATATCCTCCAGATCAGGGGTCTCCAACCTTGGCAACTTTAAGCCTGGAGGACTTTAACTCCCAGAATTCCCCAGCCAGCTTTGCTGGCTGGGGAATTCTGGGAGTTGAAGTCTGCCAGGCTTAAAGTTGCCAAGGTTGGAGACCCCTGCTCCAGATGAGCTAGGATTACAATTCACAGGATTCCCAAACAAGAGGGACCTGTAACTCTTGAAGCTATACTTCTGATACCTCTGCAAGGCTTCTGACTGGAGAAGGCTAGCCTAGCAGAGACATCCTCATTTGTTGAAGAAGCAAAAAAATAAATTTGGTCTATGGAATTCTCTGTTTATGTTACTGCAAGATTCCTACCGCTAGACAAGGTTGGGATAGACCCTGTTTCCCTGAAAATAACACCCAACTGGAAAATAAACCCTAGCATGATTTATCAGGATGCTCGTAATATAAACCCTACCCCCAAAATAAGCCCCAGTTAAGATCATCAGCAGACGGAGGCATTTAGTACTGTATTTCCCCCCCAAAATAAGACCTAACCGGAAAATAAGCCATAATGCGTCTTTTGGAGCAAAAATTAATATAAGACCTAGTCTTATTTTGGGGGAAAACATGGTAGGTGTAGTCAGAGGTATATCAAGAACAAAAGAGTGCATCAAATCCTACTCTTGTGGGAAAACCATGGTGTCAGGAAACCCTAAATGTGAACAGGAAGACATTTTGCTAACCCTTTCTGCCCAGCAAAACTCAGTGGGGACATCCTGAACGGATATTCCCAGGTAGATGTTTCCATCATGTCATTCTGATTGGTTAATACACAAAGGATTCCCGATTCAAATTCTAGCACACTCTGCCTATCAGATCCATTCTGGACTTTTCCAAGATCTTTCCCAGAATGGTCTCTACAGATGTTCATAAACTCGAACTCTCAACAGCCTCAGTCAAGCATTGCCAAGAATGAGAGATGTTGGCAGCTTATAATTCAGCAATATCTTGTGGGAAGCTCCCCCCCCCAAAGAATGAAATATTTTGAAGAATATTAAAAAGGCAGAATATTAATTTTCCCTAAATGAGAAATGGAGAAACATGTTCTTAAAGGCAGGAAGCAGCCCCCGCTTTTTCTTAATAGCCCACATCAGATGTCAGATTAAGGAGATAAAGAGTTATTGAAAGAAGAAGCCAACTATCTAGATGGCTCTATTCATAAGCAAAGCAAACATTGCAGGCAGAAATCCATTCAAGACAAGATATTTCGAAACTGCTTGCAGCAAAGTTTGACAGCTAACAAAAGCAGAGTGATAGGATTAGAAGCAGCCCCTCACCCACGATCCAACACAGGATGAAAGTCATTAGGAATTGCCCAATGCCAAAGCAGCTGGCTGGGGAATTCTGGGAGTTGAAGTCCTCCAGGCTTAAAGTTGCCAAGGTTGGAGATCCCTGTTCTAAACCATCACTAATATTTCTGGGCATTGTTTTATGAAGAGGAAGCAGGCATGGTGGTGGAAGTCAGGACAACGCTCCTTTAGGAACTGAGATTTGCTTCAAATTGCATGAAACAGAAAGGAAATCCATAACACCCAGTCTGGCTTTTCTAACCTCCTATCTTCCTGCCTCAGACTTGGCTACTTTCATACAACTGGTTGCCCGGAGCAGGGTTAGAAGAACTTTTGTGCTCATTTGTTGCTTGTGGGGTTTGCTTTGTTCTGGGAATGGCTGAGTCTATAAAGATAAGGCTGCTAGTTCCTCTATTTTTTCCTGCTTGGCTTCCTCTTGAAACCTCTGTATGAAACTGTGGGGCTCATTTGATATCCTGCCCTGGCAAGCTTCTTCTTCTGAAATGAAGCATCTTCTGGAGCATCTTTTAGCCCTGCAGAGCATCTTAAACATGCTGGAATAAACATTTTTTTAAAAAAAACAAAAAACTGGCATTTTAATGTTGGTGCATAAAAATTAAATCTTTCCCTTCTAATCCGGGGCCAAGACTTTGGCTGAATCTAAGTGATGTCGCCTGACTAAATGAAATCTGCCAGGAATTGTATGGAATAATTTAGTGGGTTAGTCACTGGAGGCAGCCACAGAGATGACCTTGGAGAAAGGATTCGGAAATTGTTCCAGCAACAGAAGGTGCTAAAATATGCTTTGAGCCAAGGAAACTAATAGGAAGAATTTAGTCTGGCCCCTCCTTTAATCCCTGGGGTATATAACAGGAAAACATGGTCAGGCTTATAAAATACTGTTATATTGCAACATCTTATCTTAATAAAGGATAGTTCTAATCATCTTGAGGACTCTGTTGATCTGGCCAACCTTGCAGGGCTGACAGTCATACAGTGGTGGATCTGCCCTTCAGTTCTTGTAAACAATTGATTATATTTTGTGTAGCAGAAGGGGAAAAATTCATTCATTCATTCATTCATTCATTCACTCTTGCAGTTGTAGTTAAAGGAGATTATTCGAAGCAGGAACATTCAGAAAACCATAGTACAAAGTGGGAAATTACCTTGGAGTAAGGTTTTTTACAACCTGGCATTGTTGCGGCCAATCCGTTTTCAGCCGGAACACTGGAGTTTCCCAAATGGTAGGTCAGCGCTTGAACAAACATTCACTTCATTTTTTTAAAAAAAAAATCAAAATATTAATCACGGCTGATTAATTGTGTGTATTTCCCAGCAATTCTCATCTTTCAAGAATCATAACATGATAGGAAATACCATTCTGTATCTGCATTATCTCATTAATCTTCTCTGCTTCTAGGACCATCGTGGAGTGGCGAGTATCCAACAGTGTTCTGTCTTCACCGAAAGATTTCACTCTCCATTGGAAGCGTGGCTGAATTCCAATAATCAGAAACAAATAAGCAAGTAAACTGGCTCCCAGCATTGCAAGAAGAGATTGTGGAAGAGGATCTAAAGCTTCATGTAGGACAACCATATTCCTTTTCTCCAGGGCGTGGCGTTGGACAAAATTCTGCCAATTCTTTTAACCTGTTAGTCATAATCTGTTTATGCAATTGTTGCAGACCAAAAACAATCCTGGTTTTGGAAATTGCACAATATCTGAAACGGGGGATACAGCATGAGGCCTCTTTCGCCAGGAGATGGACTTTCCCCTCTGGGTCTGCTCACACGAGGGCCTGACTACTTGCGTAAGCAGCTGGAGATGAGCAGTGGTGGGCGGACGCCGAGTGCCGTGGAGAGGCTGGAAGCTGACAAAGCCAAATATGTCAAATCTCGGCAAGTGATCAACAGCCGTCAAGAGCCAATTCTGCTCAGCCACACTCCCCAGTCTTCCCCATGCTGCAGGAGACCCCTAACCCTCCACCAGCAGAGTGAATTTCCTCAGGGCTTGACAGCAGACCAAGATGGCCTCAGACCCAAGAAGCAGCCCCCTTCTCCTCAGTCCCCCATAGCACGGCGAGGGGGCAGCAGGCGCCTACTGAGGCCTGACTCACTTGTCATCTATCGGCAAAAACGCGACTGTTCTCTGGTCAACAAGGAGAACAGCAAAGGGTACAACAACCTAATGAAGTGGCTGTTTCAGGGTCCACTGAGAGATGGACCTCATAACTGTTCTTCTTCAAGGAGTCTCTTAGGAGGAGATGGACATCTGGAAGTGACCCAAGAAGAGAACTCCATGGTTTGGGTACCTGCAGAGAAGGAGGACACAAGGACTGCCAATTCAGTGGACATGTTCAATGGATTCATGGGTTGTGAGTCTGAGCCTAGTCCAAAAACCCAGGCCAACTCTCAGCTCAATGTTGACCAGCCCTTTCCTTCCTCAGGCCATTACCAAACAGAAGCCAAGAAAGAGCTGACTCTGAGTTATTCTCTTCCTCTTTCAGAGAAAGAACGATTCTTTAATTACTGTGGCTTGGACCGGAATTTGGTCGAGGTGCTAGGAATTGAACGCTTCAAACCAGGCAGCTGGGAAGCTGGTTCCTTCTGCATTGGGTCAGCTAGTTCTGAACGTGATGGCCTTTCCTATAATGGGGAGCCCTTGTCTGCTGAAGACCCAAGTGACAAGCTGTCTGCCTCGGTCTCTGTTGTTGAGCGAAACGCCCGTGTCATTAAATGGCTTTACAGCTGTCAGCAGGCCCAAACGAGGTCCAAAGAATCTACAGTATGAACTCATGAAGGTCTTGGGGTCCAAAGCTCTCCCTTTATCCCAACTGAGGGGAAGTCCTATTTTGGAGGGGATCATGGCAAGATTCACCAGCACTTAGACTTATACATAGGTGGGTTGCACTTTCTTTAACAAAGGGTTCGCTGGTTGTGCCCGCTCATGCCCCTTTCGGAGAGAAACGGAGCTTCAAACAGGCTCCTAATCAGCTCAGGCAGCTACGGTGAGAACAGCAGGGGCAGTGTGGAACACAGCTGGGCCAGCCAACGAGGTTTTAAATAGATAGCATAGAACAGGGGCAGGTGGGCGGGCCCAGCCAGCGATCAGAACTAAGGGTTCGCCCAAACCCTTGAGACCATGCAGCAGCCCACCACTGGACTTATCTACCGCTTCACAGTGCTTTACAGCCCTCTCTAAGCAGTTTACAGAGTCAGCCTATTGCCCCCAACAATCTGGGTCCTCATTTTACTCACCCTGGAAGGATGGAAGGCTGAGTCAACCTTGAGCCGGTGAGATTCGATCTGCCGAACTGCAGCTAGCAGTCAGCTGAAGTAGCCTGCAGTACCGCACTCTAACCACTGCGCCACCTCGGCTCCCTATCGCCAAATGTCTCTTTCTCAAAGGAATACTGTTAAGAACCGGTTGGTCTTGAACTTTTGCTGAATTTTTCCCCAGTTGTGGCTACATAATAATGGTTCGTTACCATACTGAGGATTCTGAGAATTGACATCTAACAGAGGCGGATGGCCTCAAATAGAAAAATATTCCCTTGGCAATAAGGAGGCAGTTTCCAGGACTAATTTAAGGACTAAAATTTCTTGCTGCCATCCAGAGCCAGAGGAATACGTTTTCCTTTCTTTCCTCATTGATTGAGAGCCAGCCATTGTGATGCAGCAGAGAACACAGGAAGAATTGGTTCAAATCTCTACTCGCCTTTGAAGTTTCTTAAAGTCAGTGTTTCTCAACCTTGGTAGCTTGAAGATGGGTGGACTTCAACTCCCAGAATCCCCCAGCCAGCAGCGCTGGCTGGGGGATTCTGGGAATTGAAATCCACCCATCTTCAAGCTTCCAAGGTTGAGAAACACTACTTAAAGTGGAAGTTTAGGTTTACCTAGCACCTTTTCTACGAGGTGGTTGTATATCCTGATATCCTGCTAACAAACAATCCCTGTGTACTTTGGCTGGTTGGGTTATTAATCACTGCTTATTTAGATCACTAATGAAGTGCTGAGCTCTAAGGAATTTCCACTCCTGTTGGCAGAATTATCTGAATGTAGTTCTATATTATTGAATCATCCAAGGTTTCTTTTTCCTGATAGCTTGGTTCAGCATAGAACAGTGTGCTTGGCTCTTCCTTTATGTGGAAGCCTGTATGACTTCCTTCCCTGTGCTGCAAGATGATTCTGCTTCCCAGTGTTTGTAATTAAAAAAAAAAGTTGTTGATAAACTTGTCTGCCTTTGCTCAATACTAACCAATTTTTGGAAAACAGCATCTTGAGGGGGTTCGGCTGATGTCAGGCTGGATGATTTTATGAGTTTTACAATGTGGATTTTTAATGCTGTAAATCTCCTGGAGTCACCTGGAGTGTTTGAGTTGGGCAGTTCTATAAATTTGATTAATAGATAAATAAATTTATTTTCTGTTCTGGGAGAAGCACTAGGCAGCCACAGAACACAACCCTTGAATTTGGTAAAGTGGAGAAAAAAAGGATGCATGTGCTTCTGGAAAACTGGGATTATTTCTAGGGGAGGTCTGAGGATTTTATTCAGCTGTGTTTCCTTCTGTTTGGACTGTTTACTACTTTGATGATTGGAAGAATCAAAAAAGGCTCTCTAAGGATACTTCCATACCTCCTCTGCTTCTAATCTTTAATCACAATTTGAAATGTACGCTATTGCATTTCTTGCAGCTTTGAGAATAAGGAACACAAATCACACACATGCAGCAACAAAATTCTCCTTTCCCCTCCATAAAACAGGGAAGAGGATCAGTATATCAATACAAAGAAGTAGGAATATAATCACAACTCTTGTCAATTCCATCCCTGCTTCATTGGGGAGCTGGGGGAGGATACAAAGCTGTAAGACCACCATTACTCTTTATGGACCCATTAGAGTAGTGGAAGTTCAATTAGCAATAGCATTTAGGGTTATAGACCGCCCCATACCATAGCGCTTTACAGGGCTCTCTGGAGAGTTTACAATGTAAGCATTATTTGCATATTGTCCCCAACAATCTGGATTCTCAATCTAGAGCCCCATCAGGATCAAACTCCAGGCTGTGGGCAGAGTTTGCCTGCAATACTGCACTTTAAGCATTGCACCACCAGGGCTCCTTATAAATAGCCAGGAGAAGAGAAGACACAAGAATTCTGCCAGTAGAGAAATGGCTTGCCCCGGGCCTGGGATCTCTTCAAGGCTCCACAGTTTCCAGTGAAAAACTGATTTCAGAGCTTTTTTAAAAAAATTCACAACAGAGCTGCCAAAAAAAAACACAGCACACCTGCCAAAGAGTCAGGCATAAAGGTGTGGAGATGATCTGGGAGTTGTCTAAATATCCTTTGTAGAACTGCCACGAGTTGCAGTTCTACAACTCATAGACTTTAGCAGAGTCTACAACTCTGCTAAAGTTGGGCAGCCATTTACATTTCTTAAATCAGAGAAATAAATGGTAAAGCTTCCTCTCTAATAATGTGGATGCTTAAGATCTCACACATTATTTCACATCAAATTGTGAAAGGTGACTTTGAAATTGAAGGCTCATTTAAGAAACCGACCACTTGCACAGATCTTATCTCCTGCCAGTTTTACTACCGGTTCTTGCGAACTGGTCTGAACCGGGGGCAACCCACCACTGACGTGTGCCCAAAGTGGCACGCGGAGACATGTTGCCTGGTGTTGCCCGTTCCTCTTCCAGGTTTCTGGTGGCCCCCAGAGTGGGGTGGGAATTGAGATTTTGCAATATCCTTCCCCCAGGAGTGGGGAGGGAATGGGGATTTTGCAGTATCCTTCCCCTGGCGTGGGGTGGGAATGGAGATTTTGCAGTATCCTTCCCCTGCCATGCCCACCAAGCCACGCCCACAGAACCAGTAGTAAAAAAATTTGGATTTCACCACTGCTTTGAACTGAACATTCAATTCACTAAATTCTAGGAGGTATTCTTTTTTCAAGAAGCCTGAATCAATCTCTTGAATGGGAGGAGTTAAAATTTGGCAAAGGACTGCCTAAAATTAGAATTATGGCTACATTTAGCAGGTTGTCCACGATTATCTATGACAGAGGTGTCAAACTCAAGGCTCAGGGGCCAGATCCAGCCTGCAGGATGCTTAGATCTGGCCCGCGGGGCCGTGCTGGAAACAGCAAAGGACCGGCCCATGATGCCTCTGCCAGCAAAAATGGAGCTCGGGAGGGTTGCACGCAGGTCCTCGCGAGCTCCGTTTTCGCTGGCAGAGGGTTGCAGGATGCCGTCACAGCCGAAAACGGAGCTCAGGAGCCTGTTTTCTCTGGCAGAGCACTTGGGCCACCACAGGCGCCCTCACCACGAATGACGTTGAGTGGCCATGCCCACTCTGGCCACGCCCACTTCAGCCCCCCCGAGGTCAAACACAAACCCTGATGTGGCCCTCAATGGAATCGAGTTTGACACCCCTGATCTATGAATTTTTTGATTTATATGCCACCCTTCTCCGGAGACTCAGGGCGGCTTACAATGTGCTAAGCAATAGCCTTCATCCTTTTGTATATTTATACAAAGTCAGCTTATTGCCCCCACAAACTGGGTCCTCAATTTACCTACCTTAGAAAGGATGGAAGGCTGAGTCAACCTTGAGCCTGGCGAGATTCGAACCTGCAGTAATTGCAGGCAGCTGGTCTTAATAACAGGGTGCTTTTAGACCACGGTACTACCAAGGCTCTAAGGCACCAAGGAATTTCCATTTCCATGACATAAAAGACAATGATCAATCTGAAGCTATTTCTGGCTATTAAAGTATTTTAATTTTCAACACACTTAATTTCAACATTACTTGGGACAGACAGGGAAGGAGGAAGAAGAGAAGCAGAAGACACCATGTTTGAACAGAAGCCTCTTCTCAAGCAGTGAAACACTAAATAGGTATCTAGAACATTTTAACAGATTAGGATGTTTTCAATGATAGTCATCAGCAAAGATCTGAAGAAAAATGAGGGTGTTAATGAGGTAGTTGTGTCCAAATGTCTGCTTGGTGTACGGACTGAAAGTTCTGCAGAGAACCACTGAATTCATACGTAGAGAGTCTTACACAGCACGACAAACCAGCACTGTGAATCCAGGGATAGTTTCTTCATTAAAAATGGTGCCAGCTTTAACAGAAACATTTTGAGAGCGGAGATCCATCAGATAAGAGTTGTCAATCTTTCAATCCTTCAATCTTGTCTGTTGATGATTCTTGGGTCATAGAAGACAAGGATCTCATTAGATGCTTGAAGCTTTATTTTTTTCCTCATCATGCTACACCAGTGGTGGGTTGCCCCCGGTTCGCACCGGTTCTATCGAACTGGTAGTAAAACCGGCAGGAGGCTCCGCCCACCAACACCGACGTCATCAAAATGCTTCTGTGCATGCACACGGCCCCATTGCGAACCGGTAGTAAAGGTAAGTAGAACCCACCCCTGTGCTACACCATTAGTCATAAAGATTTGGGCTGAGTGGTTAGAGACTAATTACTCCCTGAAAGTCATCTGTTGCCCATGGGTGTTGCAGGAGGAAAAACATTTTGTACAGTAGGATAGAGGTGCCAGGAATAAGTGAAGATTGTAGAAGAATCTTAGACATTCTATGCTGTAGCAAGTTTTGCAGCCTGAATTCTCTCTTATTCCACATATTTAGAATAGAATAGAATAGAATAGAATAGAATAGAATAGAATAGAATAGAATAACAGAGTCAAAAGGGACCTTGGAGGTCTTCTAGTCCAACCCCCTGATCAGGCAGGAGACCCTACACCACTTCAGACAAATGGTTAGCCAACATTTTCTTAAAAACTTCCAGTGTTGGAGCATTCACAACTTCTGGAGGCAAGTTGTTCCATTGGTTAATTGTTCTAACTGTCAGGAAATTTCTCCTTAGTTCTAAGTTGCTTCTCTCCTTGATTAGTTTCCACCCATTGCTTCTTATCCTGCCCTCAAGTGCTTTGGAGAATAGCTTGACTCCCTCTTCTTTGTGGCAGCCTCTGAGATATTGGATATCATGTTTCCCCTAGTCCTTCTTTTCATTAAATTAGACATACCCAGTTCCTGCAACCGTTCTTCATATGTTTTAGCCTCCAGTCCCCTAATCATTTTGTTGCTCTTCTCTGCACTTTTTCTAGAGTCTCAACATTTCATTTAGCCAAATGAGTCTCCAATCTATTTTACTTGACACATTTTAGGATTATAATCCCTTGTCTACCTGAACTACTAGTTTACATAAATTATGATGAACCTAGAAAGCTATCTTGCCATGATTTGAGACCTGTCTTCCATTACAATTCCCCAACCCAATTTGAGGATGATCTGAAATCATCTTCAAACCAGCTAACCTTAAAACAGGATTTTACACTGGAATTTTCTCCAGCCCTGCTAAGAAATACTAGGGATTGAACTGGAGACTTTGTTTGCATACAAAGGTATGCACTTTGCCTCATAACCGTGTCCAACAGGGATAAAGGAAACTCCCTAAGATCAAACTGCCTTTAATCCTTGGTGCTTGGTACCGTCTATGTTGTTTACAGCAACTTTTCAGGGCTTTAGATCTTTTTCAGCCATTCCTAAGGTGCCAGGAATTGAACTTCAGCTCTGGATGAGATGGGCGGCACATAAATCCTGTAAATAAATAAATAAACTTGGAGATTACTGGAAAACAGAATTTCCAGGCTGTAACAGCACTGCAAACATCAGCACCAAGCACCTCTGAGATCCCCTTGGCAAGCTCGGAATGCCTTTGTGGGTTATTGGAAAGTGCCTCCACGCACAGATTTAACTACTTTTGGTTGCCAACATTTTTTGCATCATACTTTTCTTGGTGTGAAGAGTTTGGAATTTCCATGCCTGGAGCTCTCCCATTTTATCATCCTAAGTCTGTGAGATCTGTTGCGCAGGTCTCATTGTAGCTTAGCGGGGATCTCTATCCAGGTCTTCTCCATCCAAGTCTATCAATGGCAGCAAGTTATCACAGAATCATCTGGTAGACTGCTATAGATTGGACTCTTGGATGAATCGTTCTGCGACAGCTGCTTTCTTAGAAAGTCATTGTTGGTGCCATCAAAGTAAGTGAATGTGGAAAGAGAGCAGGAGATGCTTGTTTTTGGATAGGCAGCAGTCTCTGGCAAGGGAGATTTTTCCTAAATGTCCATTAGCGTAATTATTCTAAGGACAATCTTCTAAGGAGAAAAGGAGAGAAATGGAATGAAGGCATCGGAGACACACACTCTGGGAAGGCTTCATAAAGTTATCATCCTAAACAACACCCATGTCTGGAACTGAATATTTCACATTAAGCCCAGCACGTTTTTTTAGAAAGCTCTTGGAAAACAATAAAATATATTGTGATCACTGAGAAAGGGTCCCTCACTCAAAGTCCTCCATTTCTGTGTCTGTCCTAGTTACTTTTGGGAATATTCTTGTTCTTCAACTCAGCCAGTTTGTTGGTTACGAAGCTCCACTTGAAGGCCACACCTTCAGCCTCTCGGAGATCATTGTCATGGCCAAGGTCACCGACTTCCTCAGCTGGCATCACCCCAGAACCCCCACTGCCCTCAACCCTTTCTTCGCTGGGGTCCACCTTGGCAGTCATTTTTTCCAAAGCTGAAGTTTTCTGCCACTTAGTAGCAAAAACATCCCAAAGGCCAGCGGTCTTCTTCTCAGCTGCTTCTTCTGCTGGCTTTGCAGCTAGAGGACTGAAAGGAGAAAAGAATTTAGGGAAGGAGAGGCATTAAAACTACATTCAGGGGTGCTATTCAGCAGATTCTGACAGGTTCTGGAGAACCGGTAGCAGAAATTTTGAGTTGTTCAGAGAACCGGCAAATACCACCTTTGGCTGGCCCCAAAGTGGGGTGGGAATGGGGATTTTGCAGTATCCTTCCCCTGGAGTGGGTTGGGAATGGAGATTTTGTAGAATCCTTCCCCTGCCATGCCTACCAAGCCACGCCCACCAAGTCACACCACGCCCACCAAGCCACGCCCACAGAACCGATAGTAAAAAAAAAAATTGAATTCTACCACTGACTACATTGGATAGTGTGTTACTATAAGTCCCCCAAATTCTAAGAATAAAATCAGAAGCGCAAGAAGCTGCTTAAGGCCAAGCCAGATCTTCAATTTGCTCTTAGTGGAAACAAAACTACAGTTAAAGAGTCCCCTATCAGTCATGCCCAACTCATCTCCATTTCTTGGCCAAGTAGAAAGGGCTCACCAGAATTTCAGACATAGGTTTTCCCAGCTCTTCCCGAGAGTAATGGAAATTGAAATGGATGTTTCTTATGTAAAATATATTCTCTGATCTTCCCTAAAACCAGAGGTGAAATCCAGCAGGTTCTGACAGGTTCTGGAGAACTGGTAGCAGAAATTTTGAGCAGTTCAGGGAACGGGTAGCGGAAATTTTCAGTAGTTCAGAGAACCAGGAGCGGAAATTTTGAGTAGTTTGGAGAACCAGCAAATACCACCTCTGGCTGGCCCCAGAGTGGGGTGGGAATGGAGATTTTGCAATATTCTTCCCCTGCCACGCCCACCAAGTTACGCCCACAGAATCGGTAGTAAAAAAATTTGGAATTCACCACTGCCTAAAACAATATTGTAGTAATTGATTTGGTTTCATAGGAGATGCTTATCTAAACTATAATAGATGGAATGTACAGTAAAAGAAAAACACCTATTGAGTTAAGTGGGAAACTATATGGAAATGTGACCTTAATCCTAAAAAGCCTTGCATTAACATTAGTACATAACAATCCTAAAGAATGTAAGGCCGATGCAGTACTATCTGGACCATATCTTGAGGTTGGCATTGTTTGTGAGTGTGGTTATAGTACAATGTACAAAGGAAGACCTTTCTGATAGAAGATCTCCCTCTTTTCTTATGTTGTTGCCACTTGTGAGTTTGGAATGCCCACTTAGTAATTTCCCCAAAGAGCACTTTCCCCAGTTAGATCTTCACTGTGACATCTGATACTGCTTTGTTTTCATAGATTTAATAATGGTAGTTTTTACCATTTTAATCTTGTTTGAGCTTTTAAAGAATGGAGGGTAATGGATATCATAAAATAATAAAGAGCATATTTTCTAGAGTTTTTTATATAGCTTGAAGGTTTAGTTTAAACATCCATTGGAGTTGAACAGCTATAATAAATATGAATGAATGAATGAATGAATGAATGAATGAATGAATGAATGATGACGACTACTCTTGGAGGCTGAAGACTCCAACAACAGTGTGTCACATTTTATCTGCCCACTGGGGGGCAGAAGGTCAAAAGGAACAGCTGACTGATTCTAGCTAGGCGAAGAGAGACAACAAGGAATGTTTGCAATTAGTTTGCAGGGATCCTGTTCTGATGGGCACCAGTATGGCTATACCCAGTGATGGGATTCAGCCGGTTCGCATCACTTCGGGAGAACCGGTTGTTAACTTTCTGAGCAGTTTGGTGAACTGGGTGTTGGAAGAAATCATTAGGGCAGAGAACCGATTGTTAAATTATTTGAATCCCACCACTGGCTATACCCATATAGAATGATAGGTTGGAATGGACCTTGGAGATCTTCTAGTCCATCCCCCTGTTCAAGAAGGAGATCCTATACAGTTCTGGACAAATGGCTGTCCAGTCTCTTCTTCAAAGCTTCCAGTGATGGAGCATCCACAACTTCCAGAAATAAGCCGTTCAACTGATCAATTGTTCTCATTGCCAGGAAATTTCTCCTTCATTCTAGGTTGAGTCTCTCTTTCATGTTCTTCAACCTGTTTCTTCTTGGCTTGCCTTCAAGTGCTTTGGAGAATAAGTTGACTCCCACTTAAATACTGCTATCGTATCACCCATAGTCCTTCTCTTTGTTACACTAGATGTCCAGGGCTACATAGTCCTCTACATTGGCTTTCATTCTTGGCCGCCAGAATTGTCTTCTAATCAAGTGTTTAGCCTCCAGACTCCGTACCATCTTTGTTGCTCTTCCCTGCACTTTTTCTAGGGTCCCAACATCTTTTTTATATCATGGTGACCAGAACTAAACGCAGTATATTAATATCAAGGGTGGTCTCATATTTGTACGTAATTGCAAAAGGATGCAAAAGCGTCAACCACAATGAGATAAAAACCAAGCCAAGACTCCTTAACATTAATCTGGTTTTGCAAGGTGGGCATGGCTAGGAAACAAAACACTAAGACTTATTTCTAGACAAATATAAGGAAGTTGAAGGCCCGGTGCATTTCCTTCCGGATTCTTTGGGCAACAATAGCTTTTTCTGCCAATTGTAGCTCATATCAGAAAAACATAAGGAAATGAAACATTCAGGGTGGTTGTGGTTTTGAATGAAGTGCCAAGAATGTGGATTGATTGATGGCTGATTTTTTTTTTGTTTTTTTGCAGAATCTGGGGCACTCTGAGTTTGGAGGGAGGAGTTCTCCTCCATAAGTTCCTGTTATGACTATAAAAATGAACAGGCATTCTGGGTGAAGGGATGGTTCTGTGTACATGCTATCCCTCAAAGGCAGGGGTGGGCTGCTGGGGGTTCACAGGAGTTCGGGAGAACCTCTAGCTAAGATTCTGTGCAGTTTGGAGAACCCCCAAATCCCACTCCTGGCTGACCCAACCCACCCCACCCCTCCCAGCAGTCCCCACGTGGCCCGTTTTGGATGCAGGTAAGTGCAGGGTGTGCACGGAGGTTCAGGGAGGGCCAAAAACAGGCCTAGCGGGAGTTCGAGAGGGCCAAAAACGGGTCCGTTTCCAGCCTCCAGAGAGCCTCCGGAGCCCGGGGAGGCTATTTTGGCCCTCCCGGAGGGTTGAAAAAAGCCTCCAAAGCCTGGGAAGGGCAAAAAGCCCCCCCCCCCGGTGGTGCAGGAGGCCGACTAGGCCACACCCACCATGGCCATGCACACCCAGCAATCTTGCAGAGAGCTCATTGCTACAATTTTTGAAGCCCACCCCTGCCTCTAAAGCAGTGTTTCCCAACCTTGACAACTTTAAGATACGGGGACTTCAACTCTCTTTCATTTGTCTGGCTGGCTGGAGAATTGTGGGAGTCGAAGTCCACATATCTTACAAGTTCTCAAGGTTGAAAATCACTGCAAAGAGGAGAAAAAGTGATTGAACAAAGGCGTATATCTGCCCTATTCAAACAATTTGAGAATTGCAATTAGTTAGATATCTCTTACTGGTCAGCAGATGGTTCAGGAGCCAGCAACTGATCTTCATCCTCCCGGCCGAACAAAGATGACATGGTCCTCCAGCCTTTGACTCCAGCTCCCTGGACCTACATACCAAAATCAGACATTTGGGTTGTGGGTAGACATCATGGAAAGAGGCTTCCTCAGACAAACTTCAGAGCCCTTTCCTCAATGCAATTTCCTCTCAAATCAAGCATTTGTATGATTGTTTTTCTTTCTGGAGCTGTAATGGAGAGTGTGCTGGAACTCTTCAACTCTTCAACCCAACTGCTCAATAAGAATCTCTGCAGATTCTCAGCCATCCATGTCAAGGCTGCCCCCAAGGTGCTTTTTCAAAAGGCAATTGGACTTTCTGTTTTTTTCCTTGAAGATGTCAGAACTGAAGAAGCTTCTTGGATGAGAAGCGAAACGTCTTCCATGAAAAAGCAAGAAAGTCCAGTTGCCTTTTGAAAAAGCATCTTTAGGATGCTCGGCAAGAGATTAATCCTTTTCTTTGGGCCGAGTAAAAATCTCTGAGATGATGGATAGGTTCTAGGTTAGGTGTGGGTGACCCCTTTGGACCACAAGTGGTTTCTCTACCCCTCCTTTTTTTTTTTGGCCTCAAAGTCCCCCAAGATGATCATCTCCTGAAAACAAGATTGAGAAAAGGGTCTTCTCCAGTGATATTGAACTCAGTAGAAGACATTGGGCTTCTGTAGTGATTTTTGCCTTTTTGCATTACGCGTTCCAGATTGTTTCATCATTAGCGCTTTCATTGGATTAACTAAATAATGACCTTTTTTTTTTTTTGCAATTCAAGGTATTCTCAACATTTTTCTCCAGCACCACACTTCAAAGGCATCCAGTTTATTCCATTCCGATTTTCTGATGGTGTAGCTTTCACAACATCTGTTACAACTGGGAAGACCATGGCACTGTTAATATCCACCTTTGGAATCATTGCGATGTCTCTGTCTTTTAACGTTTTGAATAGATTTGCAATCATTTTTCTTTTCAAATGGGAGACATCCCTTTATTTTATGGCTTCGGTTCTGAAATGTCCTTTATGTCAATATGAATCTGCACCAGAGACAAATTCCTTGTGTCCATAATCACTCTTGGCCAAAGAAAGTATCCAATCCAATCCAATCCAATCCACTACCTGTCACTTGGATGAAAACTTCACTTTCACTTAATTTTTCCCCATTATTCCTTTTTCTAACGTGCTCATACTGACATATTTTCATATCATAGGACCACTATCTCCTATTGGCCCAACTAGCAACTTCTCATTTACAATTTAAATATGTCTGCACAATCTTTTTGAAAACCGTGCTGATTTTGGAAAGATGCTGATGCATTATTGTTACTGATAATCCTAGAGTTCACATATTCCCCTCCCCTTAAATCCCCCCCCCTCTCAGAGGCTGAGCCAGCCATTTTGTTCTCACATGATCATAACCTTAATCACCGGCTGCTTTTTGTTTGGGCCTCAAAAGTGACGCAGCCATTTTTTCTGTAATGCAACAGTAACTTCAGAAATGTAAAAGAAGGCTTTAGCTCTTTGGATGAAGACAGTGACTGTTCTTACCCGCCGAGCCAACTGAGAAACGGAGTTCAGTCCCTCCTCTGACAGCATGATGGAGTCTGTAGTTTCCACCAGTTGAGGATTCTCGGTCTGAAATAAGAAATCATCTTTTGAGAATTGTTGGTGCACGAATAGGCAATTGTGGCCTTTTGCTTCTACAGGAATCTGTGACTCCATTCAGTAGAGCAGGGGTGTCAAACTCTTTTTTTTTTTTAATTTGATTTATATGCCGCCCTTCTCCGGAGACTCAGGGCGGCTTACAGTGCTTTAAGCAATAGCCTTCATTCTTTTGTATATTTTATACAAAGTCAGCTTATTGCCCCCACAATCTGGGTCCTCATTTCACCTACCTTAGAAAGGATGGAAGGCTGAGTCAACCCTGAACCTTGGAGAGATTCGAACCAGCAGAAATTGCAGGCAGCTGTGTTAATAATAGGGTGCACTAAACCACTGTACTATCAAGGCTCATTGAGGGCCGCATCAGCATTGTGTTTGATCTTGGGGGGGGGGCATGGCCAGGAGGGCATGGCCAGCTTGACATCACTTGTAGGGGGGAGCCTTTGGTGACCCAAGCAGTCTGCCAACAAAAACGGGCCCCTGAGCTGAACTTCCTTTAGTGTCCTGTCTCAGGATGCTCCTTACCATCTCAGCTTATCATTGCAGGTTTTTTTCCTGATCAAACAGAAGAAGTCTCATTTTGAAAGAATCAATTGGGTAACAGCAGTGGTGGGATTCAACTAATTTAACAACCGGTTCTCTGCCCTAATGATTTCTTCCAACAACCAGTTCACCAAACTGCTCAGGAATTTAACAACCGGTTCTCCCGAAGTGGTGCAAACTGGCTGAATCCCACCACTGGGTAAGAGGCTCCCATTGTTGTTCTCCTTTGAGAGGAGACCGACTGTATGTGTGGTCCCCCTCAAAGCATTTTTGAATGCGAAGGTGATGCTAGAAGTGATGTTGCTTTACAGCATGCCTTCTGCCCCCCCTTTTTTTAATGCAAGAGTTAGAATGTTAGTAGATCCTCAATAATCACTGTATCCCACTGATACCAGTGTTTCCATTCTGGACTAAAGAATTATTTCCCATTAAAAAAATAGAAAGTAGAATGTATTGTCTGAAATGCTATAGGATTTCCTACCTAAGCAGGGGGTTGGACTAGAAGACCTCCAAGGTCCCTTCCAACTCTATTGTTCTATTCTATTCTATTCTATTCTATTCTATTCTATTCTATTCTATTC